ATCATTGCCCTGTGTGGTGGAGGCAACACGCAAGCAATGTGGTAGTTAGACAGTGTGCCTTGGGACGAGGAAGCCGCTCGCTAGAGGAGCTCGTCTTACTGCATCAACAGTGGTGACTTGGACTCCTATTACGCATGCCTGTTCAGAGTTACCCGCGTCGTGCGGGAGTTTCAGTTGCTGGACAGGGCTGTAAGCGACGATCTGGTGGACAGCCTACAAATTAGTAAATCAAAATGAAAAACTGAGGAAACCGTTGGCCTCAGTCGGTCGTTGTTGGCTGTCTGATTGGGGTCCGAGAGATGCGGTAACTTGCTGACTGGAGGCGTTGGCTCAACGTCGACGGCAGTGGCGAATGTGTGCATTGGTGTGTTACGGTGACTCCCTTCCCTCTAAAAATACTGAAAAAATAATTCAAAAAAGGTGTGGTAAACAGGACAAAGTATTGCTGTTGTTTGTTGGCTTTCCCTTCTGGTTCATACTGGTTTCCCATTCCGCCATGTACGAGCGATCAGCAATTTGTTAGTACAGTACTGATGTTGGCAAAATCCATGCAGCTCAGGAACGAGAATGGTGTTATTTTCCAAGTACCCCAGGAGCGCTTTTGCTACTATGGACTCCGTGATCTTGTAGATCGCCGGAAGAAGTGTTATCGGGCGACAAGTTGCTGGTTCTGCACGGCTAACACTTTGTAGACTGGAGTGATGATCCCGTGCTTCGAAATCGTGGGGATGTGCATCTCGTTAAGACCTCGATGAAAGGGTATTGCTGATGGTTCAAGTAAACTCATAGCAGCAACTTTCAACGCCTTCGAACGAATGTCGTCTGCACCCGGGAAGCTGTGGTCGCGTAGGGACATCAGCCGCTTCAGTAAAGCTGTGTTGGTAAACGATATGTAATTAAGTTCTGTTGGTGGCATTGCCAGCGTAGTTCAGCTAGAACTGACCATTTGATTGCATTAATGAGTGCGCTTATAACATGTAATCAGTAATAAGCTGAGAGCCGGCAGTGTTTTCCGGGGAATATTCTGCAGAACACATGTAGTGGCACAAGAAAGTTGCATGTTCGCTGAGTCCCAAAGGACTAACTGTTGAAACCGTTTCGATCATAAGCTCCTCGTTGGGGAGTACGACATCCAAGGTACTTGGTTTATTCCACATCCTGAATCTTGTGGGGAAGTAATCCAAAATAGGTTCCAGCAACTCCATTTTGAAGTCTTCATGAAGAAGTGCTGGGTTCTTTTAGCATGAAGCTTGGAATCCCTAAACAAGATAATGTGAATGTGAGAGCATACTTTTCATAATGATATCTAGGCGATTGTCCATGTTTAAAGTGGACGAGGAAGTGCGGTGCTCGATGCCCACTAAACATGTTTCAACAGCTTTTAGGTGAAGATGGCACCAAAGCGCCTAGACACTTTGGACCCCCGGGTCGTCGATGAGATCACGATACTGCTCACTGCGGTAAGAGTGTAGTATACCATCTTATCTATTCCGCTGATCGTTGTGCAGAGCGGATATTCCGGGAAGTACGATTTCGGCGTACGTGATCGCTTCACTCAATCATGTTTCGCTTACCGTGATGAGGTCCCGCGACATCGAGGCATGACGCAGCCAAAGCTCCATCAGTTTGCTGAAAAGGTCTTATGCGTTAGTACAAAACAAGTGAGTGCCTTTTACGTTAAAAGATTAGAGGAATGTGTAAAGAGCAGTTTTGAGACTTGGCTGACTCCTTTTTATCAGTCACCGGCACACATTGCTACACCGGGCACTACAGGTCATGATGACCCTGATGGCCACTCGCCTCCTGCGGTGTCCCTCCGGATGTTCTGACGACTATTAGCTTAGTCGATGTGCGGGACACCACATCGGGTGTTTTAACCAAGTTCGCGGCCCCATTAAGTTATCCGTAACCTGTGGTCGCATCCTAATTGCTTGCAGTCGAAGCTCTGTTGGCAGCATGTTACCAAACCTAGACCAATTCTCTAGAAAGGCCTGCAACGTTAGCTCAGATTGTAACATCAAGTTGCTTTGTAATTTATTGTAGAGATAATCCTTGTAAAGGCAGTAGTTGCGGCATTTTTGGAGCAAGTACCTCACACAGGTAACTCCTGTTATGGGGACCCAACGTCCCTATAATTATTACAGGAAGGCTGAAAACCCGATTCACTCAAGTGCACATGTACTCGGATCAGACAAAACGCACACGTTCAATCAGGCTTCCAACTCGTGAAACATTCACATTCGTTTAGCCTTTGCACCCAGAAACAGTCTTGTTTCCAACCAAACACGCATTGTTGTATCCAAGCAACATTTATTTTTCCGGACAACTCTCGCCAAACTTCCAACATTTCTGCTCAGTTTACAGACTTTGCATATTTACATAAAACCATGTTTCTTGTTTCCAGGGTTTGCTTACGCAAACCCTTCCAAGGGAAACCCCCCTTCATCACCGTTTCGTGAAATAAAAATGAGGCTGTACAACACTAGAATCGCCTTAGCTTTGGCCAGTAAAAGCGCCTGTGGCCAAAGGCCTGTCTTGTTCTTGATTCAGTCTTGGGTTGGGAAATCGTGTGTAGAAACTTTGCGTTCGGTCTAGGAACCCGTTCGACTCGCGTGAATTAATCTTCCGCGGCCAAGTTCCGAGAACCCACAGACTTCGAGATTTGTCAGTTACCGTGCTGTGCGAGAAATAATTCTGAGTCTCGTTCGTTCATCCGACTAGGAGAGTTGGTATCACATTGTTAGAACCTGACGTGTTCAAGAGGCAGTATTCAACAACTCCATTGCTCCCGGACATGTGCCTGAGCGTTTTCAGAAAATGTAGCTTGAGGCTGGGGGACACCCTGAACAATGACTGTTTTGCTATTGTGTTTCCAACTTCTCGCTGACAGTACGCATAGCAGATACAACCATTCAGATCACAACACTTCACAGATCGGAAGACGAAAGCCCCATCAAAACCTGCAATTTTGCTCCGGAAGATACGGTGTTATTCACGGGAAAGTGGGTCTGATTATAAGGTCCAAAAGAAATGCTGAAGTGAAACGTTTCTTGCTGCTTTAACATACCAGCTTCCAGTAAACTCATTTGGCCGACTCCAAGGCAAAGGGACTGACATTTGCCGACGCCAACGGAAAGATGCTCTCATTGGTTAGCTCCTGGGCATTGAGCTTCGAACTGGTTCGAACTTTCCTAAGGCTACCGACAAAGAATCGGACTTGAGCGGTTTCCATAAGCGCGTTACCTTATCAGTATTGTTACAGGACGGGGTCATTGAACTAGGAATTCTCGAGGCCGTGGAAGGACTGCCAGATATGTTTGATCGTTGCTTGACTTACCTAGGCATCATCTGTATTTCCTCTGTCGTTCACGGTTCCCAAAAAGCTACTGCACAAGTTTCTAAGGCTCATGAGGTTTTTAAGTCTCTGGCTTTTGTACAAACGGATGGATATAATAGGCCTACTGGTTAGGAACTGCTCAAGCGAATCGGATGTGGGCGCTCAGTTATGGTACAACTGGTATGGTACCAGAATCATTTCACAATGGTCTTTGGGATCAAACTAATAAATGGGTTACTAATTACGCAGAAAGCTGTTTGCGCTAAAGGCCTCAACTCAAAGATGCAATAGTAGGAAATCAAATGCCGAACGACGCACGCAGTTACCACTAAGAGTAAACCATAGGTTAACATGCAGTGGGCCTGCTAAGTGGTGGCACATGTGGCCGGAAATCATATTGAGGAACGAGTGTATTGAATCGCTGTTTATGAAGGCTTGTGGTTGCCAGATAATTATTTGTGCTTTTGTTGCATCAGCATCATCCGATCTATTGGATTTGGTCGGAACAACTTAATCAAGCTAGAATTTTTATAGCTTAATGTGAAATTGGCCATACACAGTGGCACGTTTCCAGCTTATAATTGTCTCCAAGGAGACCAGTGACGTACTTGAAAGCGAAATGTTGGCAAGCAACCATTTTATTACTTTTTGTAAGGGTGTGTTCTATGTGTTGTACATAGATACTGCTTTTGATATCACCAAACCGCCATATCATCGTAACGTAAACAGGTTATTACTGAGTAAATTCTGATACGTCCACTAGATAGCCAATATCAAGGAGCCACAAGCTATATGCTGTCCTACTAATGCAGCCCATGTAATCTGATAGCAGTAAAATTATCAAACTGTTCCTCAAAGCCTACACTTCTGAAAATTTTTAAGTGCTATCAGGGTATGCCCAGTGACCCAACAGTGCTTGGCTTCTTAGTAACATTTAACAGGCACAATCTGCATAGTGTGAAGACTGATTCCGGTAGCCAAACAATCAAAAAGTGAGTGGGGCTGGAAACAAGGCACAGAAGGCCAAAAAACAATCAAGTTTGTCCCTTCGGCCCCGTTTGTTTTGTTATGTGGATTCCCACAGCGGTTGCTTCTGCTTCCCCACATCCTGCGCGGTCGAAACATAGCCTGATAGCGCAGGCCGCCTGCTACATTACATCGCACGATGCAGTATGCTTTGCGACGATTGAGTTTGGGCCGCTAGACATCATAACTGCCTCCCATGAACATTCTAGTAGGAGCATTCACATAGATCGTACTTATGGTACCCCGAGCGTTCCGCTGGGTATGCACTTTTGCTTATTAGCAAGTTTATTTTTCCATTTGAATTTTTCGCTTAGTCACCGAGTAATGTGGAAGTTGCATTATCCCATTACTTTGTTGCAATGTGAGCACAGGGTATGTTAAAGATAGGTTCCAAGGAATCCGATCCCGTGTATTGAGGAAAAAGAGTCGATACAAAGAATGAATGTGGTGCCGTGTGGCAGCGACATTTTGATTGCGAGGAGAGTATTATCTTCTCCGTTATAGGGATATACAGTAGGTTGCCAAAATCATTCACACTGTCCGCTTGTCGCGTGACCGTAGTCTAAGCATCAGTCAAGATGTGCTGCTCCACCGAAGTGGCTTCAGTGCAGCTAACCCCGGTATCGGTTTGTTTCAGTCTGCCTGCCGGAATGACGCGGTTGGAGGCGATCGATGATCCGGTCATTGTCAACGTATACGATGAGATTTCGCTGAAGACGACACTTCCTGGGCACTCCAATCAGATTGTACAACGAACCGAGCGACGACTTCTGGGTGGAATTGAGATTCCATTATCTACTATTTACCTCAATCGCAAGGTGAGTCGGACGGAGCCATCGCTTGTTCTATATTCATTGTGACCACCGTCTGTTCGGGCAATACTACGTGAATTTTCCTAAGTAGCCTCAGTAGACCAAGTGCATTTTAAGACATGACTATGTTGTTTCTTGCCCGAGTATCTGGTCACATAAATAGTCTCGTCTACTCTGCGTGGGGCAATTTGACCGAGATATGCACCGGTAATTCCCTGACCTAAAATCCAGTAGAACCAGGCGACTGTGCTCGCGATAAAGTTGGGGGCAACATTTGAACTTTGGCTGACTTTCTGTGTATTACCCACAGTTACAATTTGTAGTGTTATGTATTGGATGTTTACACAGCTGTTACAAGTAAAAATCAGTAATACGATTCACCACCACTGATTCTGCGAGTTTGGTTTGACAGACCTAAATTCCCGCGCAAGATAGGCTGCATTCCTGTCTTTCCGCACTCAATTCCATAGCAGTTGTTCAACTTTCCAGTGCGAATTTTCCCGAATGGATCTCTAATTGCACATCTAATATCGGAACCACGGAAGAATCAAATTACGTCGAACGCCCACTTTACTTTTATAGGTTGATGGAAGACTGCCGCTATCCGTTCCGTTGGTTCTGCAGGGATACGAAATGCCCGAGTCAGACAGACAGTCCAACAAGCCATGCATACACATTTTCATGACCCTGCAGCCAGCTCTGCACCCTCCGGAACAGCTACTCACAAATGTAAGCATATGTCTAGCGATTTTTTTGGAGCCATCTGATTAGCATATGCCCGTGATAACAATCTCATTTTCAGCGATCTGCAGCACCAAATCTAAACGGGAGATGATTTTCTTGCTCTTAAATCATGGCCACAGATCGCATCATTCTGTAAGCACGGGTTCTTACGCTTACTGTGAGCATGTAGTACGTAGTTGTCCGTGTCATATACCCACTGCCAGTAGAGCTGTTCGACTGGCGCTAGTAATACAGCTCTGTTTGCCCATACACGTTTATGTAGTTTAATTGGATACTCTTAACACAAATAATGAAGTATGCAGTAATTGGCCTTCTGCCTAACATCAAAGAGAGCCAAGATACTATCTGTTTGCTAAAGTTTAAAGTTGCAGGATAGTATTCTTCTGTGACCCACTTCAGTTAAGGCAACAACCATGTAGTTGCCAGCCTAGTGCTTGGAGCACCGGAAATTCGTGAGTTCAGGCTTCCTCTTCAATCATCTTTTGACTGCTATAAGCCTTCCCGTCTGTTACCATGCACTCTCTGAGCGCGTAAGTTAGCTATTTGATGATTGCAAGCAGGCTTTAATATCCTTCATTTAGCTGCCGTTTCTGCCGTAAGCAAGTTCTGTTCGGTTTGTCGCAGCAACTGCGCTTTCTATAAGTTGGCCGAACTGAAAGATCGCCAACTTTCGAACCCATGCGATATCATCGGTGTCGCGGAAACTTGGTTACACAATGGAATGACAGACTCTGAAATCTGGCTGCCAGTCATGTACCTCATACGAAACGAGAGGCTTACGAAGGGAGGAGGGGTAATTCATTAGCTAGGTCACAGCTTTGCAGGGGTGCCAGACCTAGATGGGGTACTACACACCAGACCTCACGTAGGCGTTAGGCATTTCCGGAAAGATTCTGGGCCAAAATAACCAAACGCCCTGCGCATGAGGCCCAAGTTTTGAGTAACTTTTCTAGCTAGATCGTCACGCACAAGCACGACAGGAGCAACTTTTTGGACAGCAAGCTGCAAAACTTATTATTCTAGTCCATATTTGTAGGTTCTCTAGTGGCGCAGGCCCAGTACTTTCTATTTGGCAATGTTATACTCGAGCATGTGCTGGTATTAACAGTCGTAAGCCCGGATAAATTCTTTTTCACTCCAAATCTTGAGACCATCTACAAAGTGTTAAGAGCTTGATTTGATCTCTCACACGAGGTCGTTTATAAATACCACGAATAGCCGTGGTCGTAGTACCAAAGCATATCGGGCACTACAGTACACCACAGAGCGCTATGAACCCGCACATTCAAGCGGCTTTGGAGTACAACCACACATACCCAGCTCAGGATCAGTTCACCGATCTCAAATTCCTTGTTCAGTACGCCAGGTGAAGAGCTCGATGTGGACAAAAGTTGACGTGGTAACGGGAAATGAAGTTATTGACGACCAAACTGAGTGCCGTTGGTCCGTCTCGCCTTCCGGGCTGGAGTCCACGTGACCTGTTTTGTGCTTCGCTCTAGACTTTACAGGATAGGACTGCCATTCGCCACCAGTGGGGCGCCTGCTACCGTCTCCTAGTCGGACTGCATGTTTAACGTGTGTTCGGTGTGAGTTATCTGTGGGAAAAGGGCTGATTATGACGCGGGACAGTAAAAGCCGCAAGGAAGCTGTCTCGCCGATGCCGCCTTATCTTTACACCATAGCCAACTGTTTGTGATGGTATATTGTTAACACAAGATGTAGACACCTTGACCTTGAATGTTTACTTAGATTATTAAGGTTTTCAGGTAAGTCCCCCTTCTCTCCCTCTTTTTATTCTTTATTTCATAGATCATCACGGTTGTATGGTGGTTGTATGGTGGATATCCATTTAGGTGAAATGATCTGAACAGATATATCTCTTCTTTCCGATTCACCTCAAGCGTGCTGCAATGTGTTTCAATTCTACGGAAGAGAGTACACACGCAGCTTATTTTGTGACATTTCGGGTGATTGCTGGAATAGTTTGAATTTGGTCGGTGTGTGTTCCTTTCCTGTAAACCGGTGTTTGTAACTCTCCGTCAATCGTCCAGGTGACTAACCCATCCACGAATGGGGCTGGTTTTCTATCTCTGATTCCATCGTAAAATAAATGTCTTTAGTGGTGTTATTGAGTAACTGGTATGCAGCCTCTACCTGACTACGTTTCAGTATCACGAGTGTATCATCGACGTATCGTGTACACAACTTTGGGTTGATTATGGGAAGTTCGTTCTCTTCAACTTTCTGCGTTACTATCTCTGCAATGAGCCCTGACACAGGGGATCCCATCGATGCTCCTGGCACCTGCTCATAGATCTGTCCATCAAAACCGAAGTGGGTCACCAGGCATAGGTTAAATAGCTTGCAAAGATTCTCAGTCGTCAGTTTTCCGATTGTTTTCTCACTTTGGTCCAGCTGTTCGGTAATTGCTTGCTTTGCAGTCTGTAAGTTGACAGACGTAAAGAGCGCGGTCACGTCGAACGGTACTATTATCTCTTCATGATCTACTCGTATACCTTTGAGCTTCTCCAGAAACTGCTGTGCATTATGTATAGAGTGCTGTGATCCCATTGTTAGGTGCTTGAGACGTCTCCACAACTCTCTGGCCAGGTTGTACGTAGGCGTGCCTGGGAGCGATACCATTGGTCTTAGTGGTGCATCGTCTTTAAATTTGGAAGCCCATAGGATTGTGCTATGTTCAGATCGCGGGCACAACCTGTTTCACGTTTTTAACATAATCCTCTTTATCTAATATAACCGTCACGCGCCCCTTGTCCGCAGGTAAAATGACAATGGATTCATCGGCTTTCAGGGCTTTTATTGCATCCCTTTCTTGTTGAGATAGTGAAATGTGCTGTTTGTTACGTGTTACGACTGGAAGTACTGTATATCTTAGTTGTTTCTGCGTATCATCGTCAAACCCGCTGGACTGGATTGTGCTTCCCAATCCAGACAGGAACTCTGTAGTCATAGCATCCTTGAAATTGTAGTTGAGTCCTTTGGTAAGGACTTGTTTTTCTGCTACTGAAAGTGACCTATTGGATAAATTTCGAATCCCATCCTCTTTGTTAGCTTAGTTATTGTTGTGAGTCAATTTCAAAAACTTGTTCTCCAGTGCCCCTGTTTTCTCCTTTTAGTATTCTCCACTCTGCGTTCAATTGCTAAGTTGAGTTGCTATGTTAACCGTGGTCCTGTCACTCTCAGACAACTAGCATTCCAGTACATCCCAATTACGAAGCCTGGCGAACAAGTGAACTTACTTCAGCAGGATTTGCAATAGGAGATGACTATTTCATATTTCCACATAGCGGAAGCCCGGATATCGTAGACAGCGTTGGGAAAATTTGGGTCACCGGTTCACCCGAGATCCTGGCAGTTACCCTCAAGGACTTAGGGCATTAGTTAGCTGCACGAGGTGAATTGTGCCCATACAGTAAAAACAGCCGTTCAGCACATGTGCGGCAGTGAGGGACATGTGGTTAATTGATGTTAGTGACGTGTTCCGCGTGGGAATGGTATGAGATGTTGGTACTCTGTAGAAATTACAAGTAAATTATTGTCTACCAACGTTGTCTGCTTCTTCCTTTTGTCCACATGCGATGATTAGACAAGAGATGGCCCTCAACACTTTGTGGAGTTGGTTGACATGCCTGGAAATAGCTTAGTGTTGGAGCGAAATTTCTGTCAATCCTGTTGGTGTTTCATTTTATCCTCGCGGACCAGTTTGACACAATACTGTCGCCAGCTTATATGGGTATTCAAGTTTTCGGCATTTGGACTGGCTTTGTATGCTAGCCAAAGCGAATCTATGTGTAAGCCCTGTGTTTCCTCAAGAATGACTTAATGTGTTTGGAGTTGTGGATCTTGGTCTCTAATGCATTTGCTACTAGCGTGCTGTATTGGTTGACAAATTCTACCCAAGAGATAAAAGTTGATCAGTTAGGAACTACCATCCGGTAACTTTGGTTAAGTCGGATAGAACGATGTGACGCATTACGATACGGGCTTCCTCGTTGTCCCCTTTAAAATTTGCTGCCTAGCAGTCTCAGGGGAAAGCCGTGTTGCATGACCGCTGCGCCACCAGTAGGATACTCATTGTTACGATGTCGATCAAAAGTTCCTCATTGGTAAACACGTGGTCCAGAATGTATTATTTGTTCCGTGTTCCGAATCTCTTAGGGAGCGTAACTTGAGTATGAGATGGTAGGCCATCCACCAGCTTTTGCAGTTCGGCCTTAGATTGTTCGCCAATAGAAGCCATAACCTCCAAAGCGTACAAGTTGAAATCTCCCACAAGGAGAACGTGAATGTTAGGTTGAGTCAGAACGGTTTTCAGAGCAGAAGCAAGGCAGCTGTCCATTTCTATGATGGATATCGGAGGGCGGTAGATGAGGGAAACTAAACATGTGTTACCCTTTCTTATTTGCATACGGCACCAAAGCGAGTTGGCAAGTTAAATCTCTGGATCATTAACGAGTTCTACATGTAGGGCACTGTGGTGATATACAAAATTACACCAGTGGCTTTACAAGGTCGTTTTTTAGTGCCGATATGCCTGGTAGAGCGGCTTCGGCACCAGTCATACGGCCAGGTCTCAGTTATCATGTCTAGGCTCGAAAAGGTCGGGACTTGACGAGGTCGAATCTCAGGTAGTTTGCTAAAACATGGCCTGCGCATTCGTAAATTATGCCCATTAACGTAGTAAATAAAAGACCCTTGCGAAGTAATATCTTTTGGTTAAGTCCCTTCAGGCATAGACACTTATGAATCATGTTGGCATTGGAATAACAAGCTATTTCTACCTTAGCACAATTAAACCGGGTTGAGTCCGTAGGATACCTTAGTCATTGACCAAATTTGAACATCGCCATAGATCAATTAAGCTAAAGTCAGTTGACGGGTACATGGCCATGGCAAGATCAAATTTCGCACCAGCGCCTTCAGGTTGTATAGCTCTGGTTTCAGCCTTCAGATCGCAATGGCACATGCATTCTGAGTCATTAAGGGACCCGTTTCGATACATCATAAAGCGTATTGAAGGAACCCTTAGTTTGAACACTGTCCACTCCTCACATAGTGTTCCAAGTTTGAGCTTCGGACCGTCTTGACAGTGCTGTGCCGCAGGACAATGCTCCGCTATCCGCCTTGACATGCGTATGGTCGTGGGTCCGATGTACCGTGCAGTACAAGTGCAGGTGAACTGACATGGGACATACGATTCGGACAGGACCGGAATTTCCTCTTTGAGGCGTTGCGTTATGAGCGAAGCAGTCTCGCTAAGGACCCAAGCTCTACCGGCTGGGTACATCTGGTTCCCTGCGGTGAGCAGTTTACTATTCAGCAGCTCAAAAAAGATACCATCTTTGTGAGGAACTGAAGGGAAAATGTCTATTATTCTCACAGTTTCTGTCATTGAAAGCTGAGCGCGAACTATGGAATGTTTATTGATGAAGGCGGCAAGGTACGTATTACTTCGCAGCGTTCTGACCATGAAGCCCTTTTTTGTTTCCAAGATCTCTGCGCTGCAAATGTTTGCGGCACGATAGAACAGGTAACGTAATGGATTTCACTTGTGCCTGTTCGGCACAATATTGATGATGTGGGTATGGTGCCCTACCCAGGTTGGCTTCCGGTACACTCTTCTTTCCAATGAACCATCATCTTTTCGTCACAGCAAGAAGTCCAGGAAAGGATTTTATAAGCGGAAGATTTGTAAGGAGTGATTCCACATCGAAAGTCAGGATCAATTTGTATTCACGTTTAGGCCCTCTATCTGTTTTATGAATTTGTATGTCACTCATTGGCTTGGGTTGGATTAAGGAGTTCAACTAACTACTTGGCGAGTGAGTGTACTGCTGACCCAGACATGTCAAGTATAGGTCGTAGTGGGATGTTTCCTTTAGGTACTTTTGGAAGTCCGTACCGACGAGGAGGATGAGCCTCAGGGCGTTAGCCGGTCAAGCAAAATGCCATGGAAATGGTTGCAACGCTTCACTGCCTTCAACAATTTGGTGCTTTTACTCGCATCCAGCATGGCGCTACCCTTTCGTATCGGGTCATTCATGAATGTGCTGGAGTCATCAAAAATAGCGTACATCTTTGACATGTAGTCTGGCTTATCAATAATTACCCAACCCGATTATTTGTCCGGCCTGGAGACAGGCGTAGCAAGGGGCGGAGGGAGAAGGTTCGTCCCGAGCGGCATGTGACCAAGGTTGCATTTTTAGTACCGTCAATTGTTCAATACCAAATATGAAGGGCAAAAGTTCCAGATAAGCTGAAGGTTGATCAACACATTTGCACCAAGTGTTACACCTGTGCAAACGTTCTACCCAACAATCCCCTCAAATGTCCCATTGTGGTCACTTTCACTATATTTACCCGTGTCCCAAACGATCATCCATTGCATCGAAAACTAATGTGCACTTTACCCTGAGCAGATTGTATGGCCTTCACACGCATATTCTGTCTTCATTCATCATGAAAATTTTATCACCGCCCCGAGGCGGCCAAATTAGTTGTCACGCCACTGCCTGGAGAATATAATCTCAGAATTGAGTATTAATTGTTTCACTGCTTCTCACTGCTAGAGAGTAATTACTTTTGGGAATTGTGTCCTGCACTCAGGTAATTTGGAGAAAACTGCACTAAAGTGATCTTGAATGTGTCACTAGTGAGTGCGGATGTAGATGTTAAAATTTGATCAACTAATGCATCAGATACTCGAGTTGCACCTTTAAATGTAAATTCCACCCGCCAGGCTTTCAATGAGCTCACTTTTGGTCCTAACCAGTGGGCTTCAAGTTGCAATTTGTTCAGTTTCAAGCTAGAAAGGTTGTCCAGGTATCGTTTCGGATGCGTTGGAAGCTTCGATTCGGGTACGCTTGGCTCCAAACTATTAAGCAATATCGTGTATTTCCTTACATTGACCTTGGCTTATATCATTGGAACGCGGCATGTAAGCCAGCATTGAGCTCCCTAGGCGTTATGTGATACTGCGAACAAAGTCATACCAACTCAGGTAATTTTGTCTACATCCCTTCCAAAATGTGACCTTTTCCTGAGCTGTATGACTGCAAGTATCACGTTCGAGCTTATGCCGACTTTTGGGGGTCGGAAGTTAATCGAGTTTTATAAGCTTCCGATATTGAAATTTGAAGCCCGTCGTACTGGATGGTAGTAGTCTCATAGGATGTGAAGTTCCGATCCCACTAAGTAGTACACAAGTCGCTGCTTCTTGGGCAGTTGCTTGTATTTCATAGTAGCCCAGATGATACCAACGTGGACTGAAAAAGTCTCAAATGAAAAAGGACAAGTGTAACTGCGCCACGGTCCCTTTGACGGCCTTACAACACGTAAAGGTTGTAAAGCTACGTTATGTATTGATTCAACTCTGTTAGATCGTGTTACGCTTCAGAGGGATGACGTACTTGTTCAGCAATACCTACATATGCACATGACTTAAATATCAAGAGGTTCCCCTCATTCGCATGTCTTACTTTTGTTACCGAATCAGCTGACATTCGTTCGCTCCAGTTTTAGCCTCCAAAACATTGTCGTTATTATCTTGTTAGTTACGTAAGTGAGAAAAAGTAGTTGGGACTGCCATAAAGTACTTGCTGCGTTCCATACAACCCCATGAAGCAGACATCCTCTTTATTCATACATATCCTAGGGGAATATGTTCTATCATTTTTTATTCGTGTCGTACTCACTTTGGTAAACAAGTGACCGTTTTTCCAACATATTACTACTTTCTGCAGTTTGCAACCATTGAAAGTAATGAAACCCTGCACCTGTTGTCAAGCTGGAGGTGGAAGTTGGAAAGTTGCAAATCCTTCCGAAATCGCTCTTTCAACCCTATCGTGCTGAATATCGATTGCAGAGAAGTCATGATGACCCGCTATTTGGCCCCGCTGAACCCACCACCGGAGCTGCTCCCCAGTTCTCAAACCAAGCTCTCTTTGGAGGAAAGCAGGGTACGCATAAGAATTCTCTTGTGTCCTTCAGTCAGATCTCCAACCTGCAATGTCAGTCCACAGTAGTCTACTTGCCTTGAACTGTCCATAATGCGTAATTGAATGCCTCAGTGATCAAGATGTTACTTTTGACCCTTACCTTTGTGTTAATCTAATTCCTTCGTATTTAGAAGCGCCTGGCACGGTATGTTTCCCTGATACCAAGAGTTTCGGACTCGGTGTCGTTCCCGGGGCTCACCGACATTTGGTGCACTAGTGACGTAAGTTATTTCACAACAACGTGGTTCGTTATTACCAGAAACTATGCTTACCTATTCTCCATGCAAAATCAATAGATTACTTCATCAGGCATGTGAACTCTAAAAACGTAGTTGGTGTGGGTAGAATGAAATTGCAAACTACACACAAATGTTCACTGTAATGGAAGGAAAATTATCAGCACAACGAAGAACCAGGTGTGCGTTGTTCAAGGCTAAAGTTTAACCCGGGTACGGAGTCTAGTACAAATTGGAACCACAAAGGCTAGGACAGTCTGTGCGCTTCTTTCCGATGTGCTTTTTGTACGTCTCAGTCCCCTCACCGCAAGTAACCCATATTATCATAGTTTCTTCCGTAATTCAATTCGTAATGGATCAGCCCAATTTGACGCTATTACGAAGAGGCCTACTGGACCACATAGAAGAACTGGACTGTATCATGCTTGCAGTAGTATACAGATGTCCTAAGGTGTGTACCATGTTGTGCACCCAATGTTCACAGCTCATGTGAACCAGGCGTCATCAGAAAGAGACCAGTGGTTTAGGGAAATTAATACTAGGTGAATCAGTTTATTCGACAAACTAAATCTTACCTGCCCTGATATTCGACTGTCATGTCAAGCGGCCGATTACTTCATGTGTGGCATTGAAGATACGTAGCCTAGACAAAGTAAATCGCACGAGACGGGAGCGGAAAACCGTAGACTAGTATTTCTGAACTGTACGCACGCTCTATTTGGAAGAAATAAAACATAAATTACTATTAGCGTCGTTGTATACTTCAGACTAAAGTCAGTAGGCATTTTAAGAATAGGTTTGCAATTATATTGAAGAAGTGTCGACACAAAATGTGTGGTAGTGTGCGGAAACGCTATAGTGTAGTACTTCACTAATCAGCAGTCTGTCAAAGGTTAAAATGTTGACATTGAAGAATCAAGGATCTGATTGTGGTGCGAAATGAAAATATTTAATTTTTGCTACTGATGCTGTTCAAAGCAAGAAAGTTAAAGAGTTTATCTGGGAATGGTGCAAGGGTTTTAGCATATGGATACCATATCTGTAGGGACGATCCATTTGGGAACGGTATCAAAGATCCATTTGGACTGTACAATGTGCATGCCACGAGCTTAGCCGTATGCGGCTTATTAAATTGTTGAACCGTGATCTAAAGGCGGTGTTTGAGGACTGCCGTGTAAGTTTGCGCCAAGTTCTGGTTATCTTTGAGGGATTTTGATTATCAAATACTATCCAACTTTCATACAGAGCCCATGGAGCCGCGGGCATCCAGTTTGTCCTTTTGCCATGCTAAGGGCAGAACGCTATGCGAAGCGTGACATCTCATTCACGAGCGATGATTGCTAGTGTATTTGCGTGGACACCACATATATATATATATATATGTTGAGGCCGATGTTGCATTCATGATGCTTCTTCACCGCAGTTGGGATAAACCAACTTACACATAAACTAGGGCTTTTTAACCTGTATAAAAGTTCTTCCACTTTAGTTGGTTTGTTCAATTCTCTTGTTCTGCAGCATACTCGGTGTCAATTTTGCGTATTTGCTTTCCATTAAATTCTGCTGGTTGTTTGATGTCTCCGATGTGGCTGCGCTCAATATGAATGTTGACAAGGTGCTTACCTGCCAAACACTCTACAGCTCGATTACTCGCTCCAGGGCATTGTGAATAATTGCTGAGGTGAAAGACGGGTGGCACGGTCTTTGCGGCTGCGCCAGGCTCATTGTGGTTCCAGCCAGTGTGCAGCGAACTCCGGCCCAGCAACCGCCTTGTGTACGTCTGGTACGCATGATACCTTATATAAACAGACAGGAATGTTGATGTGAATATTGAAGGAGTGTGGTCCGGCTCCGTTGATGAAACATAGCTCCTATCCACATGCCTCCCGGACTTATTCCTTCTGGCTTACACTTGATATAGGGGGTGTGGTTGGAGCTGTGGGTGGTGCAGCGCAAGCAACCCATGGTCCTTCTGTAGGCAGAGACGTCCTGTAGTTGGCCGCAGTGACAGGCAAATCCGAAACCGGATGTCGCAAACTATATATATATATATATATATATATATATATATATATATATATATATATATATATATATATATATATATATAGTCACAGTGCAATGAATACACATTGAGCTAAGCAACACCGAAAGGTGACAGCCGGAATCGCCACGTCTTCTACACAATCGTCACAATCGTGACACATTAGCTGAAGAGGAGCAACACACATAAGCTATTTTACAGCAAGAAAAACGAAAGACTATTTCGCTCCTTTGCATACCCAATTTTTCCTCTTTATTTGTCATTTTCGATTACTAGGCAGTAAGCATCTGTATCTAGGCAAGTATATACACAGTCCTTCCCCTAATTTCGATTGCGCGCTTTCCCTTAATTGTTTCCAGCCATCGGCAGTCTTTGTCCTCTGACCCTCAACAAGGCAGGCGGATGGGTCCAGCGGTAGCATGAAGTAAAGTCAGCGACCTTATATACTGTAGCCACCTTTAGTCATCGATCTTGACCTTTCAGACACCTTAGAAATCAATCCCAGCCCGATTTGACGCTTACCCCACATAATCCGTGTCATGTAAAAGTTTGGGTCTGACGAGATTTTACCGAAAAGATATCTTAACCCTGAACTGTTTTCTGGTCTTATATACTGTCGCTAGATGGAGGACTGCTCACCGCGGGGATTTTTCCCGTTGAATCCTTCACGAGCGAACAGGGAGTGGTAAAACACGCTCAGTTGACATACGCAGTAAGTGACCGAGCCAACTTAACTGGCGCAGTAAAGCCAACTTGTTGAAAGGAAACCTCGGATTCCCCAAGACACGACGACTGACTTCGCTGCTGAACTTATGTTGTTCCCACCACTCACAACCAATCTGGGGTGGCCAGTAACCGAGTGCATATCCCTCTCTGGCCCAAAGAAAGTGGATAATCTCTATTCTCAGCCCTAAAAGATGAGCATTGAAATAGATCAGCAGTCCCGTGGTGACCATCCACTGAGAAAAGCATTATCCTATGGTAGTCGGAACCCTTCAACCGCAGAGCAGCTCATCGCGCTCACCGCTTAAGCTGTTGTTCACAGTAGTTAATTTTATACAGCCGCGGCTAAACTCATTGGTTATTACCCACAACAACTACGAACGTCTATTAGTCAGTAGCTATGGAGTAGCGTTGCTTTAGCCGCAAAATCGGCCAAGTGGCCGAAGGAAACGAAATTAAGCATTTTACTCTACATAGCTTGGTGAGGTTCAACTGAGGCTGTGTTATCGCGGGTAATGCAATCACGTGATGTGGCACCTGATAAGCCAATAATTCACTTCTTGGCATGCTGTCTGTCAATTGCTTGCTCACGTTATCAGTGCATTAATGACATCAGCACTTCAGCTGCAATGCAGTTCGTCATATACTGTTAATTTTATAACTTGGTGTCTGCGGAGCTGAAAGGTAGTCACTGTCGTATTCCTGATGTAGTATAGGACTGCACTTGTACCTGTGGGTTCGGTTACTATGAGACTAAATACTGCTGTGATCCAACATCGTTATAAGGAATCGATGCAAATGGCACGGTAAATGCAACCAATCGCATCAGCGTGTTAATGCCGATTAGACATCCACCCGAGGTTAGGGGCCTGTTAGAATGACAGCGTGTTGCTACGACATCTCCGATGAAAATGAAAACACGACATTACGAAAGTAATGTATCTACGTGTAAAGCACCGCTTGTTCTTGTCACACCTGGAGCAGGATATTCCACATAAATATTGCTTCTGCAATTCTGTGCAAGACTGCTGAAATAATAGGATCAGTCGCTGACTTAGTGCACAATCCTATATGTTGGCCGCAAATTTGCTTACGGTTGCTCAAAAGGTACTTGAGCTTAGTAGACGGCCTGGTGTTTAATGCTTTGAAGTAGTGTCAACTAGTGCTGATTAAGAGATATCCGGGAACCAATTGTCCCTTCGTGGGTGATATATCAGAATGAGCATTTACCCCGCTTCCATTCACCTCCCTCCTTTACTCTAGGATCCAATAGTAAATGCTAATTTCCTCTACACCCTTTCTGCTAATTTAATCACACAGAAGTTTCTCAGCATGATGTGTGGAGATGAAGAGGAGCATGCAGTTCTATTGGCTTGCTACTTTCTCTATTTGGAGCGCATGAAACTCAGTTCACCAGAAGAATATGGCGATGGGAGAGAGGAAACCGCCGTAGGGATGGAACACGACTCACTCCCAGTGTATCTGTGCATTGGTGAAGCTGTACCTGAGGGTAAGTTTACCAAATGACCTTGCACGCGCATCGATTAACATCAAACGTGTACTAGAAGGTGTACGTTGAATGTGTAGATTCGGATGCGCCGATGTCCGTTTAGTTGTGCTTTGCTTCTGTTAGACAAAGAATTGTCATCGCAACAGTTGCTGTACCACCTGGCAACGTGTCTTCTTTCGTCGGAAATTCGAACAACCCCGGAGGGTCATCAGCAGTGTGAACTGCATCACTAACCAAGATGCGACCAGTTTCACCCAAGCTGAGGCCGATGCACTGAACGAACATGTACATTCGCAGCTTTCTTGATGTCGGTTTCATATGGTCTAATGTGAGGAAGTAATCGTGGATAATAACAAACAACTTTAACAGGCTCTAAGTGGTTTATCGCACAGTTGTCAAGCTCAAAGGGGCACTAGATCTCAGCGGGCGTTTGTAAGTGACAAGTTGCATCCCAAACAATATCCTTTCTCATTGGGTTGGGTCATACGATGAAAACATTTAATTGGCCGCTGGTACCTCATTTGATCTTGTCAGCCTGAAATATCCACTAGATGTGTGTATACCAGCAGGAATACATCGACCTTACTATCAGGATACGCAGTGAATGCTGGGTCTGCTGAAACCATTCAGGCACCTTACCCACTGTGTGATAAATTGTTCAAGCCGTGTTCCAACGAGTTCGTTCAACTCAAGTCAAGAATATGCTTTATGCACCCTTGAAGGATGAATATTGAACTCTAACACACAAGCCATGCAATGGGATAAATAATGAAAAAGTAAGGTACACACGGATAAACAGATTTGACAGAGCAGATATCGCAAGAGTAATCCACTAATCAGTTCTTGAATTTGTATCGTTCAAAAAAGTACGTGCCAGGAAAGGAACAACAGGTGTACATAAGTCCATGTGCGGGCGTATATATTTGTGTAGATCTCTCTGCTCGAAGAGTTCGACAAGCATTCGGACAACACTAGGTGGAGAGGATAGGTAACATCTGCGAGTATTTTGAATACAAATAGTCACAGGAGTTAATATGGTTGGTTACAATGAGTTTGACGATTTCTGTCCTTGAAATTCCACTACACCGTGATAGATACTTCACTGATCTGGCTGTTACATTAAAGTCCTTACTCAGGAGACCAAGAAAGATAACTGGAGAACAATAGGTCCAGTAAAGTAACATACAAGCACAGAAAAAAGGTGGGATCAAAAATCGGGGTACGGAAGCAAATCTGAGAGGCGTAGCATAGAATGACTCTTCTAACTTTAGCGAAGGTTTAACTCACATGAAGCGACCAAGCTAGCCCATTGCTCAGGGTCACTCCCAGGTATTTTACTGAAGTGAAAAAGGTCAAACATTCACAATCAGTGTAACATTGTGGACACTGAGTCACGATTTGCTGGTAGCGATTTCCTTTGAACAGCGTACAATTCACATCCTTGCATTTTGAGGTGGTTAACGGTAGGCAACGGGACTTGGACCAAGCCGTGAGGTTGTCCAAGAGGTTTGTAGCTTGGCAGGTAGCTCATTGCTAGGATGATAGACGTCAAGATTTGCATCGTGCGCATAGTTCAGTAGGATGGCTTTTTCAGGGACAGGGATTGTGGCAATATAAGTGAAAAACAAGAATGGGGTCAAACTGACTCCCTCAAGAACACCAGAGTTCGTAGTGATTGAAAAGGAGATTTTCCCCATTAACCTGGTAAACTGGGTACACCTGTTAAAATAACCTTTCTACGGAAGAACAACAACAGAAGTTTAGACTTCGCATCGTAATAGATCGCCCAACAGTAGTTCATTGTTCACACAAACGAAAGCGTTGCAAAACCCAGAAATCTGATGCGGATGAATGTGTTTTTATTATCCAGTGACGAAATCACAGTATGCAACAAACATGTCATCGCATGGAATGTGCAGCTTGCTCTGCGATATGCAAACTGATGAGGCTCACCCAAACGGGTCTGTGCTGTTGTGCATTTAAGAATAGTCTTCTCAAATGTCTTAATAGCTACCGACGTGCATGCCATCAGCCGATATTTGCAGGTTCCTTCCTTTGGTACCACCATGATGCTTGCGCGTTGTCAACTGCTAGTTATCTTGTGCTGCTTGAAGCACAGCGTGTACAACTCAGCGCGGGGCTCAGCCAGGTTATCTGCACACTTCTTGAGAACTACAGAAGACAACGTAATCAGACCAAGTGCTTTGTTAAGCTGCAGCCCAATAATTTCTCTGTGTACTTCTAGACTGTTCACAGAAAGAAGGGTTATCTGAGGATAGCTGTAACAGTAGAGGGTAAATCAAAGGATGAAGTACTACCCTTGTCACAAAATTGTGGTATAGTTTTCCCACATCCGGAGTTGAATTCGTGACCTTGCGGTTCATTCCGCTTAATTGTTTCAGCACTTTCCATATTTTCAATAATTATTACTTCCAACTATGCCTTGAACGTAGATATCGTTGAGTAGACGCAATTTGATTTTTATGTCTATAGACGGAAATGTTATTGATGTAACATTTTGCGTTTAAAGCCTTTTCGTTAAGTCTGTGTAGTCGTTTAAGATGTTGGGAGGAGAATCTGTCTGCATGGATAAAACTTGTTTCAATTGGACAACAGGTGTCGAAGCAGTAGTCTAAGTAACTCCCTAACTGGTCTCAATACGTTGATACTTCCGAATCTTAAACTAATATCTGCTAGGCAATGGTTTCATGCAAATGCTGAATGTTCTGCGGATAGCATTATCTCCTACTGAACTTTCGATCTTTGCAACAGGTGAACTCTCTGGGGATTTCTTGCTATAGATAATGGGAGATAGCTTTCCGATGGCTTGATTAGGGCGCCCAAGTAGTGCCCGATTACAAACATAAAAATTCTCAGGTTGTTAACAATAATCATGTTAAGGGTTCCATTTAACCTGTTTGGAGATTGCACTGTGTTCTTTAGTCCGAGGCTGTCAATGACGCTGATGCCAGATTTGTTAAGTTCATCGTGTGATGCACTACTTATGAGTAGTATGGATTGCAACGAGGGCGAACAAGAGAAACAGGTAAATCTTGAGACGCTGGCAGACTGTGTAGTGGAAAATCAACTAGACGACATACACGAAGGGCACGAGGCAATCTAAACAGATGCTCAGTGAATGAAAGCTTACAACGGCACACCGTTCCGGAAAGGTGCCGCGAATGTCATGCGCAAATTAGAGTCGCGTTCCTATATTTGACTTATTATGTTAAGTAGGCATGTGTTCTTCATCCGGTAGTTTGTCCGCACACCGTACGTTCTCCACGATGGGATGATGTACGCTAGGTGTTCCAGGTATTCGAGGAGCACAACGATATATTCTTCGGTTTCGTAGCTTGGACAGTTGGATGAGAAACGACTAGTAAAATCGAGCTATAACCACAGCCTTTGGGTTGTTTGCATTTTACGATTAAACAGCTGGTGCATTGCGAGCTGTATTGAAAATGGATTTTAATCGGCGGTCACCATGAAATTAATCTAAATGATGCCGCCACCGCGGTTTCTTTGGGTAGTTAGCGCTCAGAACATAAATCAGCGAGTTTCACAAATGTATTTTCAGCATCACTGTAGTCAGGTTTCCTCCATCATAATGATGCCGAAACGCGAAAATTCCCGATCTTTTTATTACAAACCTTTGATGTCCTTCAATGTGCGAAGTAGCGATTGAACATTGGCACTGAGTAAACAGGTAGGCTCATGATCCAAATGTCTTTTTCAAAGTGCATCCCGCCATCACGCACGATGTTTTTGTGAAGAATTCCTTTGCTCTTTTGATCCTTTTTATTTTGTTTCGTATAGCTTGGCCAGGAAATAGTGCCCAGTTCATCTGCGTGAAAGCACGCGACAATTTCGTCACGAGAGTAAATGACCCTGTCCATGGTTACGGAACAAAACATTGATAAATTAAAACAGCTTTTTGATTCAGTGCTGAGAAGCGTGTGTTAGTAAACCATTTGCATAGGAATTATAGTATGGCCAAATTTGAAGGCCCTGCCGGTTTAGTACGGTGAAGGCAATCGACCGACATGCGTAAGTGGTATCCGCGGAGTACCACACGGCCTGGGTTATAAATCCATGTGAGGCGGACACATTGCTGTTTAGAAAGGTCAGACTATGCATGCGTGTATTTTACCTGCCTTATGAGCTCCTTAGCGGCGATTGTGTCTTCACGGCTTTGCCGCTCGCCCATCAGCTGACTCGGTGATCAGTTGAGTCCCGTTTCATCAACTATGAGTCAGAACACTAATCACATAGTAGCAGCCACGTTCTAAACTGAGATGTTTCGGTATGAATTCATAAGATCACAGAACCTCTCTCATTCTTACTGTAACCCACCATGAGGCGACCTGAACTGGAACCTATGGTGCATACACAGTGGTGGCATTTTCCACTACTTCGGCGATGTGCCGTTGGACTGAGACGTGGGAAATCATTCATCAACCAAGGGGTTGTAGATTTGACCAACAGAAGTCGAAGTTTTGTGGTTAACTTTTTCTGCTTTTGACCTTAATAGGAGCTGGTGTGAAGATCAACAGGATGTCAACGTTAGCCAGCAAAACGCAGTGGCCAGCTGGTAACACAGTTTATAGCTACTGGTTTTCCAATTGATGCACATACCTCGATGCATGGTGTACATTTGAATAAGCTGAAACATGCGTGTAGGACTGGTGTACCAACAGTTTCAACTTGTCTCGAACACGATATGAATGCCCCAAAGTCACGGGCACGACGCTTAGAGTATCATGAAACGGTTGTGGCGGCGTAGGTGTTATAGTATGATGACCACATCCGTGGCCGAAAGGACAGGGAGTCTGCCTTGCAACCCGGAGGTCGAGGGTTCGAACACTCGTAGGCGCCTGGACGACCCTCGCGGTATCCTTAACCCACACATGACTGGTGATGGTTGAGCGGCAGCGAAGACGTCGGTACGGCGTACCGGCTGTTGCTGGTGCCGTTTCTTTTTGTCTCATTAGTATACCATGAGGGGAACTAAGTCATCTGGACACACACTCAAGTACCGAAGAACTGGATGTGAGTGACCTATTAATTCCGAACTCAAATAAGTAGAGTCGGGGTAAAAAGTGGTCACCAAACTATAGCCAGTTTTCTTCAGCAATCAGATGTGTTGAAGATGATACTCTTGAATGCTTTGGTGAAGGTGTTAACTCAAATAGCGGAATATTTGCCTCTGAGACATTGCTTTGATCTGTCAAAACAACTCGGCAGATACCTACTTTATCACTGCATGTATTGCCATCACGTTAGTTGTTCACTTTGCCCCAATTGGACAAAACGATATGATAGGGGATCCACCAAAGCATGGAGGGAGTGTTGCGTGTGAGTGGTCGCATACAGCGTATAACTTCGCCAACACTATGTATGGGCAGGCATCTGACACCTATACACTTAAAGGGGATCAGACTACACTACGTTTACCAGGAAGGAAAATGCTTCTCACTGATTATTAATGGTGTTCAGACCCATGCTAGCATGCCATGAACTGGGTGATCCCAGTCACGTATGGTGCCACCCTCTGCAAATTAATCTGAATAGTAATCTGGAAGGCGATAGCTCGAACGATACAGTCTTGTAGGTTACGGAGGAACTTACTTATCCTTCGGGCCTGCCAACCCTAAAATGTTGTTCCAAACTCAGTTGTTTGGACCCACACCTGAACCGCTTTCAATAAAAGGTCTGGATAGCGTGCTCATCTCCCTACGCATTGTTATATGAATGGCTACTCTCGAGTGTATTCCCACTAACTGGCTGTGGTTGCGTGGAGGTGAAGGGCTGTTAAGGCGGACTGCTGACGACTTATCAATATTTATACGTACAGCATGATAACCAGCTAGCAACAAGTCGAGGCGACCGTCTAGTGCTTTCCGAGCGTGTGGGGGACTATTTGCCTTTGAAGCTACTGCACCGAAACCCCCAGCAATTCACATTAAAATCCCCTGCTCATGAGTAGATGCGAAACTTGTTCTGTTTGGTTTAACTGTGCTTCAGCCAATATGCACCAGCGTAGAGTGTGAACCAATCGGCTCGCGGTCGGACCACACTTGCCGCTACCGCGTTTGTGTAACACACGTACATTTTCTCCTAGGTCACGCCGTCTACGTTCTGCTACGGCAAGAGAAGGCGGAGAAACCCAATATTGGCTTCGGCTGGTATTTTTGGAACCCTTCTAGTGGTGAATCATATTCGGTGAACAATCTGGGGGGTCCGATGCGATCAGTGCACGGGTTGGTCAGTATGCACAACGTGAGTTCAAACCAGCAACGGAGCACACAACTTTGGCTGTAAAAGCGCGTTTCCAGGTATTCCGTGGCGTATTCATTGTATCATTGTCACGTTTCAGGTGTGGGCCAATATACAAAGCAAGCACCAGCCTTGGGAACTTGATTGGGATCTAAACTCCAAGCGGGCTTGGTTACCATTGTTTCCTCGGAAGGTGCATAAGAAGGCACGAACGCCTCAGAGTGAAGACACGCCATCAGTCGGTGGACTGAACACACTTCAGCCCTCGATACTGAATTACACTCAACTGGATTCACACGAAGTTGAAGAAATCAGATTTGAGCTAGAAGCAGCGTTGCGCGATTCACTAATGCAGTGGCGCAAATCGGAAGTGAGGAATTATCCATTGTTACCTGATATGATGCTCCTCCCAGTGGGCCAACACTGCTTATCTTCTACATACTTGTCTCACATTTTGGTTTATCGCATCAAACACTACTGGTTTCAACTGTAGTAGCTTTTACGGTCATCATGTGTCCCGTTGTGGTAAACGAACAGCTCTCCTTTCTCCTTGTTTCGCTCAGATTACTCGGATCAACTACGAGTTTATAACGGATTTGATGCGAATACTGGAAAAGTAAGAACATTGGCTACGTGTGTCGCGGAAGTGCAGATTCAGAGCCACAAAACCGCTTTATATAATAACAATGCATGTGTAGTATTTTGCAAGCATGACTCATGTTTAGTGACTCTGCTAAAAGCATTTAGGATTGTTCAGGTGGGGCGATAGCTAGTCTTTATTAGATCCTTCCATCACACTTACTATTATGCGTCATTCTGTCTCATTGTAGCCTCGAGAGGCACAGCGGTCAGCGCTACGATGGATTAACGCAAGTTCTTGACCGCATGTCCTCGAGATATGAAGTGAGTACTCCTTCTCTATCCATCTCACCAACTGCAGTGGTTCAGTGTTTTCCGTGAAAGACAAATCAGGTTGGCTTCCGCCGAGTGCTCGAAAGTCGCCATCTCTACGAGCAACCTATCATGGGCCTTTTACTTGACCCACCGACTACATTTAATTCTGATGGTTTCACCTATTTCTGGTATGAAATAAAATAAATAAATAAATGGTATATTCCTCGGCGGTGCGAGGCACAGTCCAACTATGTGGTCTGATCAGCGTGTACAGGAGGATTGCACAATATTAGTATTTGCTCAGCCTTCATGCGATGGATCCAACACGTTTTAAAGTAAATGGCATGTATCAGGTAGTAGAGAAATTAAAATGTTGGGGACAATAAAGAATACGGATTTCAACAAATATTCAGCTGAAGCAATACGGTAGTCCATGGAACTGACCCCAGGGGGACTTGCTTCCATGCAGGGTATTCCCTCGATGGATTTCACCCCCACTTCCTTACGTTTCCTGGCGGTGTGTTGGTGTGGCAGAGCAGCATATAAGCCAACACCTGTACATATGTGTTGTTCTTTTTAGGGCTATTTTTATGCATTCATTGTGGGCAATGAAACCTCAGCCCGGTCCGTCATGCGTATCACACAAGTATGGCACTTTTTCTACGCCAGTTAATTGGGGGCAATGTGCCTTGCATGGGTATAGTCTTTTATTGTTTGGAAGCTTCAGTCCGTCACCACAGGAGATGAGCTCAGGCGTGGCGAAATGAGAGACTAACTTTCCCTGCTGCAAGTCGAGGGACGGAGTAAGAGTCTACTGTAATCAACACAAAAGACAAAGTGCATCAAGATCTTATCACTAGCTTTTTAGACTTTCTCGTTGAAACCATCATAAACGATTCTTCTCTTAATGCTTTCCATTTCCCTGGAGTAGAGTTTTTGTTAGTTAGCAACGACATCGCTTCCTTCCGATGAGCTCCAGATGTTCAAGGAGCCGATATGCAATACTGTACACTTGTGTTTGCTTTTTGCATTCCCCGAACCGAGAAACTCTCCCAAGATGGGGCCGACACACATACGGGTTTATCAGCTAACTTCTCTGGTTGGTTCTATCACCGCTTGCGGTCATATCAAGCAGGAGGTAACCGCATGCTTGGCCAATGCTTATTCGGTTTTGTATTGTCTCAGTTTGTGGAGACGGCGGAATATTACCTTCTTTGTTATGGGAACCATTTACGACACTAGCCTGCAACCAGTGTTGTACAGAGAAGATTTGGTGGCTAAAGATGTCTCCAGCGATGCCAAAATAAATAAATAAAGAGACGGTATATTTATTGATTTTGCGAGAAACTGATCCTAAGCACGGTCCAATCCAATGTATTACAGATGTTCCACGTTAGCGCATTACGTTAAATAAATATGTCAGTGGACAGAGCTTGAGAGGTATGCGGCAGAAATATCAAAAAGCAATGAAAGCGCGGATCTTTTCCTGCATTTATTCATGATATCAGAACTTTTTTGCTTTCTTGAGCACTACCGATGCTGGTGAACGTTTCTGAGATTTATCTTCCGTTCATTGCGTTTAGAGGTGACATCCATTATACACTTTTTTTTGGAAGAAATGGCCGAAGCGAACTAAAAACCTTATGTCTAGTCGGTATATGGATAGGTCAGCGTCGAAACTTAAGTGAACGTTTAGTAAAGGATATGGTAATTTTCACTCAAATCTTGGAACTTCGGTGACCAACGTCGACATTACTTTTATACTTCGCACACTAAGAACATGCGATTTGACTATATGATTATCACACGTTGCTATTTTATATGAAGAAGGTATTACCATTAGACACACAACGATTGGCGAAGATGGTAAGTGCATCAGGAGGGGTGAACTTGTGAGCGGGGATCTACCTCTATGCTAATTCTTAAGTTATGCAGTGATCAATAAGAATTCGGGAGTAGGTACAGTAGAAAAGGTGCCCTTTATCAGCATTCTTCCGTTTCGGAAACTCCTCGCTTGTTGAGGGGGCTACCTTGTCGTCTGCATGGTAGTAACGTGTAAGTCAGTGGATAGTGAGCAGCGTTCTATCACATCTAGTAACTTATTTACGATGGTCGTTGCTGTCCCCCGTAGCTCAGTGGTCTCAATCCCCGACTGGCAACAGTCGAGTAGCGGGTTCGAGCCCTACTAGGGTCAGATGGAATGCGCACTGCTGACGATTCCCGAAAGGAAGAAATGCGCGTACAGTGCTTTTCTGGGGGTGTGACGGCTGTCAAATTGAGTCTACATCTGACAAATTTCTACCTATAGCATTCAACGCCCCCTGCTACTCCTCTAATATCAGAAATGGTTAGAACTAAGCAATATCATCCGTCTCATTAGCCTACAACCCTCTTTGATTGCTCAAAACTGGTGGTTTTTTATTTCTATGACAGGTAGTTAACAAGTGTTCATTCTCCGTAATTTGAGGCAAAAAGTATTGCGACAGGTAATAGTTAATTAGCTTTTAGACTAACATTATTGGGAGAAATGCTTTATTGGGAATCCGCTATGCGAAGCACAGCCTCAAAAGGGTTGAAAACCGCTGTACTAGGCTATACGGTTTGTACCTGCTGTTATGTGGTAAAACAGCAGAGCATTTTAAGAACCGTGACTGTTGTTTTGGTCTTTAAATCACGAAATACGCTCACATTGGCTGTGCTCAATAACAAGTCAAAATTCCTCAAACCCACCATGGTACTCCGTATCTATCAAGAGACGTCTTCACTTCGGACACAGTGTGAACAACGCCACTGCGTCTAGCCTAGCACAATGGCTGCAGTGACCGCTGTAAGCAGATTTAACTACCCTTGTATCTCTGTTTAAGCCTCTCTGTTCATATATGTAGTTGTACTTGAAGAATGATTTCCAGATGATTGAATCAGGTAATCTTCTCAGAGCTCGAACCTCCACCAATATTAGCAGTGTGATTCTTATCCTAAGTGTTGAAAGCCATAAATTTCTATTCATTTTCCATTATGCTATAAAGAGAATCACCATAAGTAAGGATTTAAGATGTTTACGAATATTTATTGGGGATTGTTTCCTAAGCAGTACTCGATAATTGTTTTGCAAAGGTCTGGTTTCCTTTTCACGTCAGGAATGACTTTGACGGTTACAGTGGCTGATGCAGCGTTGACGGTCGTTGACTAATTTTAGTAATATGGCACATCACATCACATTAGGACCTGTTCATGTAAACCGTATGGGGTTAAGTTGCACATCTTTGTACACTTACCTGCACCTAGTGAGACAATGACCATTGTCCTTTTATGCTGTTCATCCGGCAGCCAACTCATCGGTGCATCAAACAGCGATGCTGCACTTTGTTGCTTCCCTAAATTTGCAGGTCTACGGTTTTCCGATGAATTTTCCGTGGATGCAAACAAGGGCGATCGTTGAACGTGTTCGCTCCAAGGGAATCCACGAAGTGCTGGGATCCAGTGGCTCTTTGGAGGTAGGCCATCGCGGTGACTCCGCTCTGAAGCACGCTGGATCGTCTTCACTGCAGTTTGCGATAGCTGTGTACGTAAAGGCCTACAAAGGACCCGTTCTGTCCATTTGGGTGTACCTAGCTGCCCTGTGGCGCCGGACTTCTGCTATCACTTCGAGCTGATTAGTCTTCCGACGTTATTGAGCTGTTTCCACCAGCGATTGTTGGTGCAGCCATTTGTGTTTACCAGACCATCTTACAAGTGTGCATATCCTACGAATGGCTCGTTTCTAGATGATTATCAGTAGCTACTTTCAGCATGTAACCAAGCGATCATGAATATCGTACAAGCTAGTTCCAAATATAACGTTTTTTACTGTCGCATTTTTACAGTTCCCCATGGTAGTCATAACCAGTAAGCTGAACACCAAATTGTCCCACTAAATTAATAGTGGACTTATTTCTGTCACACACTCTTTATATAGCGTCGGTTTGTGCAAGCACATAGTTCTTTGGCGTTTTCATCAACAAACCCCTAAGACCACTTCAACCTAAACATGGAGGAAGCTAGCTCAAATCACAAACCTTTCATAATCGACTGCACTTTTTTGGAAAGTCTGCATAGTCTATTATGAGGGCGTCTTATGCATCACATCAGACAAACATCCGTCCCAATCGCGTGATATCCCACTTGTCAGTACAGCATCTGAATGTGGTCGCGCGGATGACTGGGCATACCAATGCAGTGTGGGTTGGATACTTCGTCAACCCGGTAGAAGACGCACTTTCGTACTCATACTAAGGGTTTAGCACTGCATCTAGTTGTAATAATACGAAATCACCAGCCTACTCACAGAATTCGAGGGCGATTTTCTCAGCGATTGCTCCAAGTCTCATATTATTCCCACTTCAACGTGGCTTTCTCACTGGGCCTGGAGCCACGCGGCACCGTGGGCTTTTACGCTTTGTTCCTTATAACTCACATTAGTTAGCTATAACCTAATGTGGTGAGTATTGGTTTAGTCAATTACCGCTACTTATGGTTTATACCAGGAAGAAAACCTTCAGCAGATAGGTGGCATCCACGTAGATATGACATTTCAACTGATATCTCCATCCCTTAGTTGGTCTTACCCGTTCCTCCATATGAGGAATCTTCTGTACAAGCTGTTGTTTAAGCTGGACCGGATTGTCTGTCTCAAACGATTAGTACAGAAGCAGCGATGTATTGACGAGAAACGACGTGGAAGCTTTGCATGACGCAGTGAATTACAAGGTTCCGATTTGATACGCAGTAAACAAGTACCTGACCATCATGACAAGACTAGACCTTAGCAAGGTGCGGTGGTTTACGTGTTTTAGTTACTCATTTCACTTTGCAGTATGACCTTCCGAGTCACTCATACAAGCTTGGTCAGTAGTTAGATGCCAGACACATTCAGTGTCCTTGTCCTCCAGTTTTGTGGATTTGAGCGCGGGTGGCTCCTTAACCCATAAAATGGGACTCCGTATCTCATTGCCACACTCTCACCACCCTGTGGTCAGGTATTTTGAATCAAAGGCTTTGATGCAAAACCCTAGTCATTCTTCTGTCTAGACATGAGCAACCTGACAGTTATCTGCCCACGCAATTCAAGGAACTTCGCGTTGATACCTTTTCCTGATGCTTTGACGATCGCATAAGATAGTACATGGTGCCATAACTGATGTATCGAGCACAGTGGATAGGGGCGAGGATGCTACTGTTCAAGCTTCGCCCTCTTCTCATTTCCTCCTTGTGGGGTTTCATTTTTAACTTCTATTTCCAACTTCACTTTTATCCCCCTGTTTTCAAGTCCACAATGCTTACCCTATCCATCCTGCCATTATAGTCGTTTAGCTTCTAGCATTGACTTACACAATCGGGGAGCATTACTTCAGCCCTGACACCAAGTCCGTGTCCAACCATTCGGGCAACCACAATTCATCCAATTCTATTTGAATCCCTCAATCCTAGCTAAATTATATGCTTAAAGTAGCGCACTTCGTTACGAATTGGCCAAGAGGCAGCACTTACCCGAACACAAGAGATCGTGGCGATCGATATTTGCTGTTTACCGGAAACCCACTTGCAAAATTCAAGCCCTGCGCTCACGCTGCAATCCCCCGCATGTGACAGCAGTGGCTTATTTTCCTTAGGTCTATCTGGGCTTGTAGCAGGTTCGAATGCTGATCAAGCCGGTGTGGGCATCGCTTCAAGTCCTCGGACGTAGGCCCCACTGGTAGACTTGTTCCTAAGCAGTAGCCGGACGTATGCCATTAGACTGGCTGGATCGGTTACAGTTTCAAAGTTTTGCTAACTGAAGTGCTAGTTGTTATCGTCGCTATAGGATTGACTCCGTGAAAGCTGCTTTTTGCCGTCAACTGAAGGATTTCCTTCGTCACGGATAAATTACAAACACTGTAGTGCTAGCTGGTGATCTGAATGCCCCAGTCGGAGATTTGTCTACTGATGGGCTTCATCTTGGTGCCTAACACGGTGTAGGCTCCGGTAATAATAACGGTGAGCAGTTGCTTCACTGGTAGAAAGGTACGTCTTTTCTTCACATATGGTACTAAGTTACTGCGCGGCACTCGCCGCAGGGCTACATATTGTCCCCAGCTATAAACGCAAATTAATCACATTGAGATTAATTACAACTGAAGGAGCTGTGTCCAAAGCTGCAACATGATCCGAAGCACAAGCGTGGACTTATATGTGTTGATCTCCGGGTGCTTTCCAGTGGTCGGTCGCAACGACACTGTGAGTGCATAGACGCCGGCCAACTAACGAAACCAGTTACTCTAAATGCGTATCAACGCACGCGGGCATGCGAGCTGAGCAAATGCTGCGTGAACACAATTGGAAAGCATTGGCCACATGAACACCAGACATTAGAGTCAGTAGCCAAGCTTAGTGCAGGAAATTCGATTGTCAACCTCAACAGTGCGTCTCTACGCAGTCTCCGTAAATTATGAATACCTGCCGGTGCGTTCGGTTTAGGAGAGCACACAATAAGACTCGCAAAGACCTCATGACACAACTATATGCTAGTCCCACGAAGGACAAGACGTGGTGGTCCTATTGGAGAAGGAAACAGCCGATGCTCTTGGTATCTATCTGATCGTTTTCCGTCTAATAAGGAAAACAAGTAACAGGTGACCTAACGTCAGCGAAACTATACACAGCAAGAGCGGAGAGCTTAGCAGCAATCTAGTGACACGCTTGCCGAGCTGGGCTGAGGCAAATTAATCGGATTCAACTTGTTGCACGGAAGTGAGATGAGACTGATGAAATTGCAAACGGTCACAGAAGCAAGCGGACTTTCTGGTACCCAATTAAAATTTGGAATTTTAACTGTTGTCCATTTGTGCAATTCATCAGTGAAGCTGTGAAGAGAACAACAGTCCCAGCCGACTGGACCTACTCCGTTATGGCCCCATTTTTAAATGGAATCTCACGTTCGGAAGGTGGTAATCATATAGGGGCCAGTCTGATCTCTCTCTCTTCTCAATTGCTTGCCTCTGCTGCTCCTCACAGACCGACTGACAGTCAAGAGAGCCAGCTTCGTAAAGAGCAAGTTGGGTTTAGTCGAACTCGAGATAGCATTGATCACAGCTGCACTTTGCGACAGTTATGGCAGTACCGCCACTTATATTGGTTGCCTACCCTAGTCATGGTTCGCGACAGCAAATGTGTCTTTCATTTAGCAAATCGATGTGCATTTTGGAACTGTTTGACCAAGAAAAGTGTGCTCGAAAATTACCTAAATACTATAGGGACGCTTAATGAGAATAGCTCGTGCAGAATGAGGGTTTCTGCAAAACTGTCGCCACCCTTCAGTATCTCCAGCAGTGTGAGATAAGGGTACGCACTATCAGTTTTCCTTTTGCCTTTGCCGTTGAAAATGGGATGAAAACTGCATGCTACTTTTACGTGATCAAACTCTTGACTTGAACGTGTCGACGATAGTACCCTAAGCAGTGTGATCCTCGAACGTGTCAAGCAGTGACGGACAGATTAGCACTGGTTATTAGCAGCTTTAGGATTTGCTTTGCATTCCAAATACACAGCATTGTTGCAAGATTGACAGGGACCACCGTCTGCATTGACCATTGGCGTTGACCAGCTGGAAATCATTCCAAAACGCAACTGTCTCGACACCTGTAGCGGCGCCTGTAGGAATGAAGACGGAATAGCAAAGCATGTGGCAAAGGCTCGAGCTGCTTCTGAACAATGAACAATAGTTTCATGCTGGTTAACGAATATTGCTTTACGAGCTCCGTGGAGTGGTTTGCTGGGGTTAGTGAGGAAACTTTAAAAAGATAGTTGTCATTTTTACAGTGAATAGAATGGCCTTATCACTCGTAATGCAGTACTCGTGCACCGTGTAGTTCCACTACCCCAAGTGGTAATAAATTGTAAATACAAGGTATTTCTTGGGAGTAGAACGGAGAGAGTATGCTATTAACAAAATGTAAGTGGCTGAGTGCGTCAGCCACTTCAAATAAATAACTACATAAATATTTTATTCGCGAATTCATCGAGGCTGAGGTAGGTACAAAAACAGCCAATTCGGGGAGGTCTTTCTGACGTGACACTTGAGTAGAAAAGGAATATCTGCTGCACTCCAAACGGTCGTACTGCTCTGCTACTTTCAAGGAGTGACGTCTCAGTAAGAAGCGACACCTGTGATTCGGCTTGTGTAAAACTAAGTACAAAAATACTAGCTCACTCCACAATGGGCTATACCGTTCGCTGAATAGTCCCAAACGTTTCAGCCTTCGCTCGTACGGGACATTGCGAATACCAATGGCGTACTTGAAATCTCAACGTTGAGGCTGCTTCAGTACACTGTGGTCATGCTCCAGTCATGGATGCCTGGCTTGCATGGTTTAGTTGACATGAAGGCGAATTTATCCATTATGCATTTGGCGAAAAGCTGAGCTGCCTATATTTCCGGAGACCCGTCGTGACAGATCGACGTGTTAGTTACCAGATTACGAGGCCTTTCCAGATTGCTGGAACAAACGGTCATCCTGAACACGCACGGTCAGGTTGCGTTCGAAAAATGCTCGCTACAATATATTGGTTTCCAGCCTGTATGAGTGGTTGGTCTGGTGTCGCATGTAAAGCACCTTAAATTTGCTCAGTTGAACTACAGCAGGTTTTGGGTTGTCTACTGAGTTACCACGCCTAGGTCACTCCGAATCAAATTCTGATCGGCATGTGTCTGAATCCTGCGACATATGTTGATGTTGTAAGCAAACAGAATGAAAATTAAATCGATTGGCTATGCAATGTCAGTAATTAATGAAAAACATTCTCGGCCTTAGTACAGAGCCATGAGGCGCACCACACACA